TCTTCATTGAAGTCTGAATGAATCAGTCTTTCCTTGAATAAAAATATATTTTTGGCTTTACCTGGAACTGTTGTGTTTAGGACCATTATAAGAGTTAGGTCCCAACATATTCTGAAGAGAGAAGTACAAGGACTGTTCTGATAATATACAGTTTTGTACTAAAACAATTGTAGGATCTTGCCAATATTGGTAAAGTCTGGGGAATATGTATGTGAGTGAATTCTAAGATTATTAGGCTGCAAAAGACAAAATATGAGACTAAATCAGGTAGGGTTTATTTATGCAAGTACTCACCTGATATTCAGATATTAATGTATTGATATGAGTACCTGGAGTGCTATAAATGGCCTGCTAGATTTGGTTAATTAAATCTTGTACTCAATGAAGATATTTTCATGTAAATGCCCAGTAGAGGGCATCCATTTTAGAGAAGGCTCTTAATTATGTGGATTAGATACCCATTCACTAAATTTCAGTCAGCCTTGTCCCTAACCACTCCAATGCTTGCTCGCTGGGCTCATGTGTAAAGTGGTTATGGTAAAAGGGATAGAAACTATGCATGGGCTCACTACCATGGACTTCCCTTCAATAAAGTGGATCTGTCTACTACCATTGCTGAGTCCCAAACTGTCAATGGCTGAAACCAATTTGGCACCATTCCTGGGGGGGATTAGCTAGCTACCTAGTGGCACACTGATTACACTGGATCTTTTTTTATCATGGAGGCAGTGATTTATCCTAGCAGGAATATATGTATTATACACACACCCACACACATGAATACATACATGTATACATATACCTCCATATGTATATATATATTTTTTATTTTTATATTTTTTTCCAGAGAGGGAGGGAGAAGGGGGAAGGACAGATGGAGAGGGAGAAAGAGAATCTTAAGCAGGCTTCATGCCCAACACAGAGCCAGACGTGGGGCTCAATCTCACAACACTGAGATCATGACCTGAGCTGAAATCAAGAGTTGGATGTTTATCCAACTGAGCTACCCAGGCACCCCAAGGAATAGATATATATTTCACAATGAATTTGCCTTGCTAGTCCATTGTCATGGCTTCATACTCTGTCAACTTAGCTAAACCAGAACTATGTTTCCAGAATTCCCTTCCATGCATGTTTCCATGTTAGAGTTCACCACAAGAAAAATTTGTGTGAAATTTGGAAGATGGAAGTGAAGCAGTAGACATCTTTGGTCTGAAGGACAGTATAGGGCTCATTATAGCTCATACATGTTCCTGGCTCACCTTGCTGATGTGGGACAACAACTTGGGCCTGTAGCTCCTTTAGCTCCTACTGGATCTCCATCTTCAGTTCCTCCAAGTCCTGGGTCTGGTGCAATTGCATCTTTATAATGAAGGGCATCAGTTTATTAGGCAGGCCACCTGCATCATCAAAATTAGAAGCAGTGAGAGACATAGTTCAAGTTTGTCATTGGTCATCTTCACTTCCTGTCCATTTTCCCTTCCAGACTGTTGGGCTTCAGGCCCAGCATGACACTCTGTGGTCACAAACTTACCTAGACTGCTTAACGGATTCCACATTGCATAAAGTCTAGTCCCTTTAAGAAATTGCCTTCTTTTAAATCACTCATAGTAGTTCTACTTCTCTGATCAAACTCTTGAGTGATACACCCTCAATGTATCTGCCAGCACAGTCATTTGCAGATTTATAGAATGTCTTATTATTACTACTATATCTACAGAACATTGCATCTTACCAGGGGATACATTTTATAGCAATTGAAATATATTCACACACATATGGAATTCATTAGTCTACGTGCATGCTCTATCAGTAATAAATTAGTGGAATGACCTACTGAGGTGCAGTTACAGCACTAGTTGGGGCACTACTTGGAATGATAACATCCTATACTACAGGATGTATTATAGGCCTGTGGTAAGTTACAGAAGCAGCTGTGTTATTTTCACAGCTCCTCTTGGGTCACCCTCTTCTCTAGCTACAGATTTTACTTGTGGTCTTAGAAACCATTCTTTCCCCATCTTATGTAACTCCAGGAATGATAAGAGCTCACTTCTCTTGCCTGGGTGCCTTTACAGTCTTTTGTTGGCTCCTTTAACCCTGCCTAAACACTTGTATATAATTCCTGTAGTTAACTCTCTTCAATCACCCATTTGAATATGACCTCTCTTCCTGTCTGGACTTTGATCAATACCCTGAAATATCTATAAAAATATCTAAAAAAGAAACTAACTAGAGCCATATTTATTTACACAGGTGAATAGACATAAATGTAGAGCATAAAAAAGGTCTGGAAGAATACATACCATGTGTCATTTACCCTTAGAGAAGAGGGCAGGGGTCCTGGATTAAGGCTTATGATCAAAAGGTCTTTGACTTTATCCGTGGTGTTCTAAATTTTAAAATGAGAATAGACTCATGTGCTTTCTGTACAATTAAAACTTATTTAAAAATTAATATATTAGTTGATAATTTTTCTTTTTTTTTAAAGATTTATTTATTTATTTGAGAGAGCGAGAATGAGAGAGAGAGAGAGAGAGTACATGAGAGGGGGGAGGGAGAGGGAGAAGCAGGCTCCTCGCTGAGCAGGGAGCCCGACACGGGACTTGATCCCAGGACTCCAGGATCATGACCTGAGCTGAAGGCAGTCGCTTAACCAACTGGGCCACCCAGGCGCCCCTAGTTGATAATTTTTCTTCAATCAAGTCATTCTGTGAGATTTTGTTTTCAAAGTATCATTTGTTTATTTTAAAAATTAAGATTTTATTAACTAATACACACTTTTTTCCCCAGCTAAAATGAAATAGGTTTGCAATTGTTCTATTTCAGACTACTCTACGGCTTAAGGATAATGTATCATTGAGCTGACTGATTATAGGTGTATTTCACAAAGCATAGGCTGTCTGTCATCACAGGTGAATGAAAGGGAGTTTGTGGGTCATGGACATGAATGGCCTTTGGGGAGACACTGAGAGAGGTTAATACTTGAGCTTTGGTCTAATTTTATCCTTTATATTTTAGTTTTGCTCAGTTCAACAAATACTTACAGAGTATTTACTAAGTGCCAGAAAGAGTGCAAGGCACTGGAGATAAAGAGAAAAATAAGAAAGCATCCCTGCCATTGAGGAGCTTCTTTTCTGTGAGATACAGAGAAATAGTTTCCATGTTATGTGGTAAGTATAGTGATAAAGGGATGCACAAAGGGGGTGCCTGGGTGGCTCAGTGGGGTAAGCATCTCACTCTTGATTTTGGCTGTCACTATCTCAGGGTTGTGAGCTTGAGCCCCACATTGGCTCTGTGCTGGAACCTGCTTGGGATTCTCTCTCTCTCCCTCTCTTCTACTACCCCTGCCCCCGCTCTCTAAAAAAAAAAAAAAGAAAGAAAGAAAGAAAGAAAAAGGGATGCACAAGATTCTTGGGAGTACAAAGAGAAGCATAGAGTAGAGCAGTGGTTTTCCACAGTAGCTGTGCATTAGAATGACCTGATGTGCTTTCAAAAAAAGACAATTGGCCCATCTCTCAAAGATTCTGATTTAATTGGTATGGGGTGGGCACAATATTTTTAAAAAGCTCTCTGTCTCTTCTCCTACCACTCTCCACACTGTACGTAATGTTCCATTAGTACTAAATGACTACAGCTTCTCAAACATGCCAAACATGCCACATCACATGCTGCACTCCTCCTGGAATTCTTCCTGGAATATCTTCCCAGGCACCCTAAACTCCCACCTCCCATTCATTCGTCTCTCAAACTCTTTAAGTCTCTACTCAAATGCTACTTTCCCTGGGAAGTCTTCCCAGATCCCCCCAGGTAGATTTAGGGTTTCTTTCTTCTATGTTACTACCCACTGCATTGAACATGCATTATAGAATAGCTATACTATAATATAGTATAATCTATATATGGTATAGTATAATAACTATAGTATAACAGTTATCCCGATTGGATTCAATTGCTTTGTTCGGATGTGTGTGTCTCTTCACTGGGCTCCAAGCTCCTTGTCTAGGAATTAGCACACGGGTATTGATCCAAAAACAGGTTGAATGAATAAACTCCATGTTTAGCTCCTGGCTTTTAAGAGACTTACAATCTAATGGACTTTTTTTTTTTTTTTCTTCCCCAAATGGCTTTCAGAGATTTTGGAGATTGTACTTAGCATGCCATCTTTGGTAGAACATCATCATTTTATGAGATATGTTCCTCCCTTCCCTCTGAAATATTTTATTTTGAAAGTATTTCAAACATACTGCAAAGATGAAAGAATTTTATGGTGAATACCTGCCTACCCACCATTTAGGTTCTACCATACTCACTGGAGAAGACATTCTTTTCAATAAATAGTGCTGGATAGTTGGATATTCACATTCAAAAGAATGAAACTAGGCCTCTATCTTACACCATTCACAGAAATTAACTTGAAATGGATTTAAATAAATCACTGATTTTATTTTTATGCACATTTTCTTTCTGGGTTGCTTGGATCAGTACCTGAAAACGCCAAAAATATATGGAATCATCAATATGTGCTGGAGGCCTATACTGGGAGGCTTCTGGAAAAGGAAATCTTTGAGCAGGTTTTGAAGGGTAAAAGATGCATGGCTCTCTCCTGTCTCCAGGACTTGTCTGCTGTTCCTTCTGCTAGAAGCATTCTTCATGCCACTCTGTCCCCCATTCTTGCTCCTCCTCACCCATTAGATCTTAGTTAACTCGACCACCAACATGAACAGTGGTCCACCCTGTTATTCTTTCCAATGTTTTTTTTTAATGTGAAAGAAGTTCAAGTAAATTCTCCTGTCTATTCAGCAATTCCTTGTCCAATTCTTCTTTCTGATGTACCTCACTGAGGCCCATTATATTTGGACAGAACCAGATATTCCAAATTTATTTGGCTTTTTATTCTATCAAAACTCCCATTTGCAGCGGCGGGCAGCAGCGGCGGCGTCGGGTGGGACGTGGTGGGGGCGGACGGAGTCCGCGGCGGCGGCGGCTGCAGTAAAGACATGGCGGAGACCGTGGCGGACACCTGGCGGCTGATCACCAATCCGGAGAACCTGAATGATGCCTACGGGCCGCCCAGCAACTTCCCCGAGATCGATGTGAGCAACTCACAGACGGTGGGGGTTGGCCGGGGCCGCTTCACCACCTACGAAATCAGGGTCAAGACAAATCTGCCTATTTTCAAGCTGAAGGAATCTACTGTTAGAAGAAGATACAGTGGCTTTGAATGGCTGCGATGTGAATTAGAAAGAGAGAGCAAGGTTGTAGTCCCCCCGCTCCCTGGAAATGCATTTTTGCGTCAGCTTCCTTTTAGAGGAGATGATGGAATATTTGATGACAATTTTATTGAAGAAAGGAAGCAAGGGCTAGAGCAGTTTATAAACAAGGTCGCTGGTCATCCTCTGGCACAGAATGAACGTTGTCTTCACATGTTTTTTCAGGATGAAATTACAGATAAAAGCTATACTCCATCTAAAATAAGACATGCCTGAAATTTGATGAGAAGGGGCAAAACAAAAAACAAAAAACAAAACAAAAAAAACCTTTCCGTGACTATTATTCATATGCACCAGTGAAGTTCTAACTAACTTTTAGCATGTTGCACAGAAACTGGTATAACATGCCTTCAGTATACTAACATTCATGTGCTCGGTTTTGTTTTTTTTTGTTTGGGCAGTTGACAAGAAGTTAATTTGCTTTAGTGAAAATCCCTCATTCCAGCCTTTCTATATAAATAGCTCTTCCTTGCTGTTTTATTGTGGTACCCACTATCGCCTCACAGACCTGTTACTCCAGTATAACCTGCAGTGTCCTAACTAAAGTTACTGACTTGGTCTTATCTGCACGGTTTTTGTGCTTCTTGAATCTGATTAACTAGAATATTTCTCTTACTCCTTTTAAATATGTGATGTCCCTTGACCTAATTTATGTGTAGAAGCACTACACCATTGGTTTCCAGTCCCTTATGTGTAAGATACACACTTGTAGGCAGAAAGTCTCTCCCTTCAGGCTTGTAATACCTTTCACGTGGAAGATCAATGAGGGAAATCTTTATATTCTGTATAAAAACAAAATCAAATTTATATACTAAAATCATTTGTCTAAAAATTTAAGTTGTTTTCAAATAAAAATAAAAAAGCAAGCAAACAAACAAAAAAACCCCAAAACTCCCATTTGCTTAAATACCTAAATTTGAGTTAGCTGGTACTCCCAAAAAGTGATCAGAAAAAATAATTTACATGATATGTGCAAGACTTGTCATTTAAATAAATTTTTCCTAGGCACCATTCCTTGTGTTGGCAAGGCTATTAGGCAACTCAGTTGCTATCATATGTAACTACAGTAATAGTGGCCAAAAGGATGTTATTTTGATTTTTATGAAATGCTCAGGTAATATTTGACTTCCAAATTTTATATACTTTTTCCATAGAGGGTATTAATGTAATAGTATTAATTTGAATTCTATCACTTTTTTTAGGTATCAGGAGCGTATACCTACCAAATGAACCAATGAATGGAGCCAAACACCCCGGGGTGTCTGAGTTTGTGTTCCTGGGACTCTCCAATTCCTGGGAGATCCAGCTTCTTTTTTGCTTTTATTGCCTTTTATATATGTCTAGGATGATGGGAATCCTTCTAATAGGGGTCACTGTGACTTCTGACCCTTTTACCCTCCCCTCCCCATGTATTCTCTGTTAGCCAATCTCTCCATCATTGACCTGATATTTTGCTCCACTGAAGCAGCCAAGATGCTTTGTGATCTTTTCAGGAAGCAGAAAGTCCTCTCCTTTGGGGGCTATCTAGCTCAGGCCTTCTTTTGCCATGCTGTTGGAGGCAATGAGATGTACTGCTCATTGCCATGGCCTTTGACAGATATATGGCCATATGTAAGCCTTTCCATTACCTGACCATCGTGAACTCATGAATGTGCATTTTGATTTTAGTGGTTGGACCATTGGTTTCATTCACATATTGGCCCAACCAGCTTTTGTGGTAAACTTGCCCCTCTGTAGCTCTAATGTATTAGATAGCTTTTACTGTGACATACCTTGGCTAATCAAATTTGCCTGTGCAGATACTTATAAACTGGTGTTCACGGTCCCTGCTAATAGTGGGTTCATTTCCTTGGCTGCTTTCTTCTTGCTCCTCCTCTCTTACATCTTCTTCTTAGCCACTCTTCAGGAACACTCCTCAGGTAGTTCATTCGAGGCTCTTTTTACTCTGTCAGCTCATATTATTGTGGTGATTTTATTCTTTGGTCCACTGATTTTTTCCATATGCGGCCCTCTCCTTCAGCACATCTCGATAAATTTATAGCCAGATTTGATGCAGTCTTCACTCCTTTTCTAAATCCAGCCATATATACATATATACATTCTTCAGGAACAGAGAGATGGAGATGGCAAAGAGGAGAGTGTTCAGTCAGCTTATGGGTTTTAGAAAAAAATCACTAAATGGCTTTATTGAAACACAAAATTTCCAAGTGACTATCGGTTAATTTTCTGTTCCTTAAAGCCAATCCTCTAGAAGAAGGGACCATCTTTCTGAGTTCTTATTTTGTTCTTTTGTTTGGAACATATTCCTCTTTTCATTTCTCTTGGCTCTCTGTGTTGGTTTCTCTACATTAAATAAAACATCTACCTCTTCCAGTTTTGAAGGAGGGGCCGCATGTAGGAGAGGAAACTTATTTTTAACCCCACCCTAGCTCTTACTGTTGTCTCTCAAACCTTTGTGATAATCCAAGCAGTTCACTATATATATTTAAGGTCTGGCATGCAGGATATTTTATAGGGATCACTAGCTGTGGCAGAGAAAGGGAAGAGGTGGATTGGGCAGAGTGAGAAGTCAAACTGTAATGCAGACTTGAGAAAGCCTTGTCCAGCCTGTTAGGGCTACACTGCAGCAGGCTAAGATGGGTGCACACACACTTCCATCCCCACTGCAATCTGTCTGTGGATGAGGACATGCTCTGAAAACAGTCTTGCAGGAGCTGACGGCTGGGGCAACAAGTATTCCTTCTTTTTCTTCTTCTTTTTTTAAAAAAGAGTTATTTATTTGAGAGAGAGAGAGAGAGCACAAGAAGGCTCTTGTGTGTGTTGGGGGGGGAGGGCAAAGGGGGAGAAATCCTCAAGCTGACTCCCTGCCCAGCCTGGGCCCCAACTCAGGGCTGGATCCCAGGACCCGGAGATCACGACCTAAGCTGAAACCAAGAGTTGGTCACTGAACCAAATGAGCCACCCAGGCACCACCCCCCACTCTTTTTTTTTTAAGTAGGCTCCAAGCCCATCGTGGAACAAAATGCAGGGTTTGAACTCACAACCCTGAGATCAAGACCTGAGCTGAGATCGAGGTGGGTGCTTAATCAGGGAGCCACGCCGCCGCCCCAACAAGTTCTTTTAAGGGGCATCTAAGCAGCTCACGACTATGTTCACTGCTTCAGCATAAAGGTGAAAGAAGTCTTATCCTCATTAACAGATGAGAAAACTGAGCCTATAATATATAATATATATCTCTCTATATAAATATATATATTTAAGGATTTTATCTATTCATTTGAGAGAGAGAGACGGAGCAGGGAGAAAGACAGAGGGAGAGGGAGAAGCAGGGCCCTTAGTGATGGACCTTGGGCTCCATCCCAGGACCCAGGGATCACAGCCCCAGCAGAAGGCAGCCGATTAACCTACTGAGCCACCCAGGAGCCCTGAGCCTATTATATTATATCTTATTTTTTTTTAAAGACTTTATTTTATTTTATTTGTCAGAGAGAGAGTGAGTGAGAGAGAGAGTGAGCACAAGCAGGAGGAGTGGCAGGCAGAAGGAGAAGCTGGCTCCCCGTCGAGGAAGGAGCCCAATGTGGGACTCGATCCCAGGACCCTGGGATCACGACCTCAGCCAAAGGCAGATGCTTAATCCACTGAGCCACCCAAGCGTCCCAGCCTATTATATTTTAATAGCTCCCAGTAGTTGAGGGTGTGCCAAGCTTTTCAGGGTTTCAAAAGTGAGGATCTCAAACAGCACCTAGATTCAGGCGGAATGGAAGCCAGACTCTCAGGCAGTAGCTTTTAAAGTATTTAAATATATACCACAAAAATAAAAAATGGTAATTTTATGAGATGATGGAAGTGTTAACTAAGCCTATTATGACAATTATTTTGTAATGATAATATATAAGTGTATCAAATTATCACCTCCTACACCTTAAGCTTATACAATGTTTTATGTCAATTATATCTTAAAGAAGCCGGAACAAAAATAAAAAAAATTTAAAAAATAAAAGAAATGCAAATACATACAGTTTTATGAGACCACAAGTGTAAGCGTTGTGAACCACTGGTGCCAGGTGATCCAGAGGTGTCCCCTGAGTGGCAGTCACAAAAATCGGGGCTCCAGATGAGTGTATAAGCGCCTGTCTGGGAGATGCAGAATGTATGTTAAGGAATGTTCTCGACTTTATTTTCAGTCAAATAGATCAGGTGCTGGCAAACTTTCTATAAAGGGTGATGAAAGAAAGAAGTCTCTATAAAGACCTGACATTTTAGATTTCTTTCTAAGTCAGTATGTCTGTACCTTAACTTTTTGTGGGAATTCATAATGCCTGGCTAGATAAGATTTAATAAACATATGCCTACCTGGATGAGACTAATTGAAAAGCAAAGGAATGTCCAGAAAACTGGGCCTTCTTTGAAATTTCTGGACTGAAGACAACCAGATCCTTGTTGCAGCTCAATGCACTCAACACTCATCCAGGGAGTAAATGAGAGGAGAAACATTTGGCTTTGGTGGTCACCTCCTCCACGTACTCCCTGCCTGCACACACGTCACTCCTCAAGCCAGAGAAAGGGAAAGGACGTCTGCTCATCCAGGTAGGAACTACAGGCACTCCATACCTGTGACGGAGTGACCATTGAACTCACTTTTTTCTTTCTTTCAGGAGTGCAGTATTTACTTTTGATTTCTGTCTGATCTATTTTTCTGTCTGTTATAAACTTGTTAGTTACGGGAACGTCTTCAAGTAAGCAACAGGTTGTCCATAAAGACCAACTTCGTATGCTGTTACTCTCCTTTGCAGAGGCAGCCATGCACGACAACTCAGATTGGTGTCTGAGAGCTTTATTTCAGTGTGTGACAATTTTTTTTTAAAACAAAAGCCTAACTTATGGCCCATCAAGCATACATTGTAGACCTGCTTTGTAAATGAGTAGCCTAAAGGAAAACCATCTTGTCCTTAAAGATATTGATCAATGCTCCTATTCCCTGCATTCCTTGATATTAAAACTTGTGATTCCTGCCTATATGGTAATCTGTAATCTTTTGAGCTTTTACAAGATATAAAAAAACTTAGAACTCTTTGAAAACTGTTCAGTCTACAGAAACTTTCTTACCTGTGAAGAGTGTGTTTCCTGGCCAGCTGTCCTAACTGGGGCTTGAATAAAAGTTTCTTTCTTACTTTTAGAGATTCTATAAGGTTTGTTCATTTTGTGTCAACAAGGATCAGATTGTAAATAGTTTCAGATTTGTGGGCTGTATGATATCTTTTGCGATCACTCAGTTATGCTGTGGTAGTATTGAAATAGTCATAGACAATACATAAATTAATGGACATTGCTGAGTTCCAATAAAACTTTATTAAAAAAACAGGAGGCAGGACAGATCTGGGGTGCCCAGTATATAGATTTGCCTATTCCCCCAAATATCACAATCTTTGTCTTAAAACAAGTTTAAAATGAAAGGCAGTATAGCATCACACAAAATTTGCAGTTGCAGTTCAGAGCCTTTGGTCCCAACGGTACCAACTCACTTGCTGTGTTATCTTACCTGTCACTTAACCCCTCTGAATTTCAGTTTGTTCCAATACTGCACCAGAATTCACAGATTTACGATTATGACTAATTGAGATAATATTTGACAAGGCTTTATCAATTTAAAAATTAGCCTGGGTTCCTTTCCTGAACGGTAGCCATTTGCTTGAAGTCTATCTTAAAAATAAAATTTGTTTTATCTTCTAATTCACATGAAACTTACCTTTTAATTCTCTCTCCTTTCTCTTACACACACACACACACGCATGCATGCGCACACACAAATATCATGTGATGCATCTTCATTATTATTATTTTATATATTCTTAAGCTGGT